TTTATTTTATTTTACTTTCTTGCTCAGTTTATGTTACTTTATTTTATGTATTTATTTTTTTTGTTTGTTTTATTTTATATTTTATTTTGTTGTATTTAATTTAGTATTTCAATTTTGTACTCTGGAGTATTTTATTTATATTTTATTTTATAATTTTTACTTACTTATATTATCACGTTTTTTATTTTATTATATTTTCCTTATATATTTTAGAATAAAATCATCTTTGAACTAAAATTAAACAACCAAATACTTGAAATAAATTCGACCGTATTATTTACAAATATTTTTCTCCTTAGGTCATGTTATTACACTTATTCTCATACTACCCAGAAATATGTTTTAAATATTTTAAAAAAATGTTTCAAAAATGTTTTAACAACTTACCGCATTATTTTTCTCTTGTTATTCGGATGTATACGATTCGCTGAATCCGGATCGATTTTCCTTAAATGGTTATGCAACAACTCAGATGACATGGCTGAAATTTCAGCAAGCGGCAAAAATAGTGGCTAAAAGGGCGAGAGATACAATATATATACATATGTACATAAAAGTTAAATATAACAATTACGTTGCTATTAATGAGGCAGAACTCGTTCTATATAACTATGTACAAAACACTTTATTTTTAATTTTCAAAATTTATATATATACATATATGGATGTACATTGGAAATAAAACTTGCTTCAACATTACTTACATTTTGCGCATTTTCCGTAGCCCCTGCATCTTCGCCTTCTCTTCTTGCTGACGTTCCTGCGTTGGACGTGTCAGCCTTTTCATCGGCATCTTTTGGACTCACTAGTATATCCCATAGTAACGATTCGATGTAGTAATTGGTGCCACCCACCACGATGGGGCATTTGCTTTGTGCTAAAAGGTTTTCAATCTAAATTGTTTCAATATTCAGTTAGGAAAATATCCGCATTATTTGTTTTGACATCTCATCTACGGTTCTTCACTGGGCTTTAAACTTTTGCCTAACACAAAAGAAAAGTTCAAAGCTGCTTTCATAATACCGAAACCACAGAACGTCACGTTTTCTGACAATGTAGGTATCAATGTATGTTCTAAGAAAAAAAATAAGTAAAGTGATACCTGTTTTGGTACACTTAACCAAGGAGGAACCCGATAGGTCACCCCTAAATAATAAAAAAAAATTACAACGCGAAATGAGTGGAAGAACCGACGGCTTTAAACTATCAGATGACAAAATAGGTTATGCAGTTTACTCTGAACCAGAGCGTCTTTCAAGCGGGTAAGATAGCCCATCTTTTAAAAATATATTTGGTAGCCAGACAGACATTAAGCCTTTCTAATCCGTCCAATATAATGCAGAGAGATCGTTCTTGGTTTAGGTCCCTAGCCATACGGACATCCAGACGAACTGGCCAAAGAGGTAACAGCCCTAACGTGTGCAATGGAACTAGACAAATCTGGCTATTAATAGAGATAAATAGAACCAAGTCTCTACTCCTTTTAACCGGAACCTCCAAAATCATAACAACCGGTGTAATATTCGAACATGGGGACTCATGGTAGAAGGATAGGCTGCTGCTCAATCATTCATCATCATTTTCTCGCAAATTCCTTCTTCGATTGAGCATTTAGAAAGGGTAAAAGAATCTATGACCAAAATAGGTATAACAATCGACCAGTAGGTCTAAGTGAGCTTAATCAGGGTTCCATGAAAGCAGTGAAGAAAATATAGTAGCAGTAGATGAGATTCGATAGTATATTCAGCACCGCTCGGAGAAACTCGGGCTCAGATCTTAAATTGAAAGCATACGACCAACCAACCAGGATCCTACATTTTCGAGTCAAATTTTATTCAGCGATAAGACCCATTTCTGGCTCCATGGTAATGGTATGTAAACAACCAAAATTGCCGCCCTTGGGACAAAGAGTAGCCTAAAGAGGTTCAAAAGCTGCCATTTCATCTAGAAAAAATAACAGTTTGGTGAGATTTGTGCCGGTATGCACGTAACCATCAATGGCAACCGTTATCGTGCTATGTTAGCCGACTATTTAGTGCCTGAAATTGAAGCTCGTCGACATGTGGTTTCAACAAGATGGTGCCACTTCCCACACAACATATCAATCAATGGCTTTATTGAAAGAACACTTCGGTGGGCAGATAACTCCACGTCTGGAGCCGGTCGATTGGCCACCAAGATAGTGTGATATCAGACCGTGAGACTTTTTTCTGTGGGGATATGTAAAATCCAAAGTTTATATGGGCAATTTCGCCTCAATTCAGGCCTTGGAGCAAAACATCACGCGGGTCATTCGCCAGTTACCACTCGAAATGCTTGAACGACTCATCGAAAATTGGACTTGACGGATGGACCAACTGGGACATAGCAACGGCCGACATTTGAAAGAGATAAGCTTCAAAAACTAAATGTCTAAGAATGTGCTTTCGAATGATAATAAACATTCCCCATTAGATATAAAGTTTCTGTGATTTTTTCCTTAAATGGATCGGGTTTTGGCCGAACTCCTTCTCCTGTGGTATTCTTGCTCTTGATGTTATTCTAACCAATAGAGGCAACTGCAGTTTATTCTAAGCCGCCTCATGTCAGAAATACACTCGAATGGCTTGACATTCCCTGCCAAGGGCCTGCCAAGGGCGACGACATTAGAAAAAGTAATTTTTTTGGGCTTTTTGAACATCTTTTTGAAGATCATTCAAAGCTTAACTCTGTTAAGACAATATCACTAAGGCACCTTAAGGAACTACTTCATTCGGCAAATGTAATAATGTTTCATAAATTACCGGGCGAAAAACTTCATAATAATTTTTTGTTCGGTTTTCAAACAAAATTATCTATAAATATTTTTTCTTACTTTTTTTTACCAAAAATTGCTTTCAACTATTTATTGTTTGTCCACCAAAAGAAACTAATTACATAAAAATTAACAGTCAATGCGAAAATTTTCGGCGAAAAATTGTTTGGCGAAAGAGAGCATTCAAGAGAACGGCAGAATTTCACCAACTACAGCAAAACGATTTCGCTGCAGAGAGTTCATAGTTTAGCAACGGATTGGTGAGTTGCAAACGACAGGATGTCCGGGCTATCCATGGTATTCAATGGCCTTTTGGTAGGTGCCTCAGGATTTGCTTTGTTCTCTATACAGCCCGCCGAACATCCGTATGCTTTCTCCGCGTGCGCCTTTGGACTCTGCCATGGTTTGCTGGGCATTATACATGCCTACAAGCAAGGCGACGAAGGCGACAGTTGCAATAAAATCCGACAGATATCTGATAGCGTTATGGAGCTTGTACATTTGCCGCTGATAAATATTGAATTATATTTGGCATCGAAGGAGACTAGTGCCTTGGCTTTGGGACATGGTCTCTTTGTGATACCGCTCGCTTTTGATTTGATTGCGAAACTTTTCACCGATGAAGGTGACGATAGCAATACTAATACACTGAAGGATCTGACGATTTTGGGTAACATTATGTCCTTGACATTTTTGGCTGTCAACGAGAGCAATTACATATACGTAAGCATGGCCTTAACCGCCTTCCTGACGAAATACGGTTCCATACTCTTGGATAGTTACTGGGAGGGCTCACTGGAGAATACTGTACTCACCGGCTACTCCTTGTTTACATTCCTCGCCAATTATGCAATCACCGAAAAACCAGAATGGATGAAAATGGAATAAAGTGAATGGATTGGATGAGCTTGGGGGGCTGAATGCATGTTGTCACGGGAAAATGCTTGTAAACATATCAATTCATGAGATTCGAGTTTTAGACCAAAGAATATAAATAAATTTCAATTTGAAAAAAAAAAACAAATTGTTTTGAATCCATGCATTTTGGTGGGTACGAAATGAGGCACTAACTTGTGGCAAAACATTGGGGAGACTTAAGATGAATTGGGAAAGATTTGTGCCAAGGTTAGAATGTTCTCCAAAGTGTGATTGGGATTGGGTAGGCAAAGCCTGGAGAAACGTACTTCTTAAAAAGAAGTGGCATGTCCAAAGTAATAGAAGTTTCACTGAATGATAGGACGACACGCGGGAAGACTATGGGCTTCATATAAAAGATACTGCAAGGAGGATGAGGAGCAGGAAACAATCACCCATCTCTTATTCAGCTGTTCAGCTTTGAGTAGAGTTAGGTTTCGCAATTTTGGCACTCTATTGTTATATGGTCTATAGACGATGACCCTGCTGAAAGTCACGAATCTAAGGAGAGCCAAAACGCCTGGATAATGATGCCAGCTGACTGGCTTTCTGAGCTTTGTATGTCATTTTAAAGCTCTGAACGTCAGTCGGTTACACAGATTTTCTACTATTGAGTGTTTCCGAATTGTGTATTTGTTTATCGATTCGATAAGTCTGTTTATCGGTCAAGAGTAAGGAATATTTTGCACGTTTTATTTATAAACAAATAAATGAGAATTTTTATGTTTTTATTTCTTTTAATATTTTTTTATTTAATTTTTTTTTAATTATTTGTTTAACAAATTCAACGTACATACATACATATGTACAGCCATATAGTACATATGTATATTAAAAACTGAATTATTTTTATTTTCTTTTGGCGACTGTTTGCAGTGTCTCGCTTAAGTAAAGAAACGCAAGCAAAAAACGCAAAAAAAAAAAGAAAAAAAAATACTGCAAAAATGTGACAGCCAAAACAACAATAATGGACGCTACCCAAATGAAAACATTAATAAATGTTTGTTCAGTGTTTGCAGCATACATACAAGTACAATATACAACAGAGGGGCGTCTGCAGCCTTATATATACATATATATATATATGTATGCATGTATGTTTGGTTGGGCTTTGTAGCTATGTACATATGTATGTAGAAATGTACTCGCTTGATGCATACAGCAAGAGCTTTTGTGCCAATTGTTGTAGTTGCGCGCATGACTTGCCAATCGACGTCTGTTCTACACTTGCATACGAGTATCTACATAAATACATACAAGCGTCTGCAACCATAAAACCAACTGTGCACGTGTATGTACATGCATACATACATACATACATATATGCGTGGCTTTGTTTGTTGGCGGCGTCGAATGCGCTGATGCGTCTGCGCGGCTGGTTAGCTGGCTGACTGCCGGCTTATCTTTACGCCCCGCCACCTAACCGACCCGACTCGGCCCGGCCCTTGTGCAAATGCGACTAAACTTTGAGTGCGCATGCAATGCGGTTTGTTTATTAAAACCGAAACGCTTAAGTGTACTCATGGCCAAAAAGCCGGCCGGTCGGTCGTACGGCCGTGCGCGCGTCGTTCAGCCAGACCCGGCGTCCAATCGGTATTGCTGCTGTTTTCGTTTGGTTTTATTTTTTTTTTTTTTTTTTTTTTTTTTTTTTTTCTATTTTTTTGCGCATTGTTTTGAAGACGTCTACGCCTGGCGCATCGTCGAATGCAACACACGTCGCGTGTATTGTAGCGCGCCGCACCGCGCGTTGCTTGTGTCTGGTTTTTGGTTTTTTATTTTCTGTTTACCAATTGACTCATTCATACAGGTTTTTGAACTTGCACAAGGTTTGCGCGCAGTCGTGTCTGCCAGCCTGGGCTTGAGGCTGGTCGACTCGTTCGCTGGCTACCTGGAGTGACAGGCAGATAGACGGCCACACGGTCGATTGGATGGTTGGACGGGCGAATGGACATTTCACTACCAGACGCGTTAAAGAGTTTTTGAAGTTTTTGTTTTCTTACTTGTTGTTGTTTTTTTTTTAACTTCTCGCCCTCATTGACGTCTTTTTACCCGCTGCATTTTTGTTTTGTTTTTGTTTGTTTACACACGCTTCGGTTATGATTTTATCGCGTTGCTTCGACTTGCGTGCAATTCACGGCCGAGACTTTCGACGAGCTATTTTTTATTTCCTTCTTTGCCCGTTGG